CTGGGTGGGGGGAGCCCTCACCTCCCTTCCCCCAGACCCGCCCCGCTCGCAGTGGTGGGCGGGGCCGTTCACACCGGCTGCCATTGCAGGCACCACGGACTTTGAGTCCCCCTCGGCCGGGGGCTGGGAGGATGCCAGCGTGGGGCGGCTGCAGTGGGTGCGTCTCCCGGCCCAGGACAGCGGGAGCCCTGGCATGGACGCCAGCGGGGCCGCTGGTGAGGCCCGAGTGCCCCGCCCAGGGCAGCCTGCAGCCTGCCTTCCAACTGCACCCGCACAAGGGTCCCCGCTCTGCTTCTTTTCACCGGGGAGGGTCTCTGAATTGGGGGGGTGTCCCCGATTCTCAGGAATCAGCTCTGAGAGGCCTGCTCTTCCCCAGGGCACTTCCTGTCCGTGCAGAGGGCCTGGGGGCAGCTGGCAGAGCAGGCCCGCGTCCTCACACCCACCCTGGGCCCCTCTGGCCCCCGCTGTGAACTCCACATGGCTTACTATTTTCAGAGTCACCCCCAAGGTACCGCTGTCCCTCCAGGCCCTCTGCCCAGCCCTGGGGCGGAGGTGGGGTGGGCCGGCCCACAGTGACCCCTTACCAGGCTTCCTGGAGCTGGTCGTGGTGGAGGGCAGCAGCCGTGAGCTGGTGTGGCAGGCCGCGGGCAGCCGCTCCGGGCGCTGGAAAGTGGACACAGTCCTTCTAGGGGCTCGCCACCGGCCCTTTCGGGTGAGGCGGGCAGCCTGGGGCGGGGGAGTGGGTGGGGTGGTGGGTGGCATGCGGAGCCGGCCCTGACTTACCGGCCCATCTCCCATGCCCCCGTGAAGCTGGAGTTCGTTGGGCTGCTGGACCTGGACGGCCCTGGCCAGCAGGGCGCCGGGGTGGACGGCGTGACCCTGAAGGACTGCAGCCCTGCAGCAGTCACCGAGAAAGGTGACCACCGTGGCCCAGTCCCCACCCAGGGGCCTCCCACCCAGGCCTCCTCGAGGGACCCCCGGGGGGTCCCCAGTCCGGGAGCAAGTCTCTCCCACCCTCTCGGGGCTCAGGAGGGGTGTGGGGGCTGCTGACCCCCCAGTGCCTCACCCCCAGAGATCTCCTGTAACTTTGAGCGGGGCACCTGCGGCTGGCACACCGGCCACCTCACCGATGCCCACTGGCAGCGAGTCGAGAGCCGTGGCCCTGGGTATGACCACACCACGGGCCAAGGTGAGGCGGGACGCCCCGACCTGGGGGCAGCTCTCAGACTCAGAGCGGCCTCCCATACCCACCCCGGGGGGCTCCCAGACCGGACTCCCAGCGGGCAGACGGGAGCTCTGGGCTGAGTGTCCCCAGCCTGGCGTCTCTGCGGCTCAGCCCCACGGCCCGCCTGCAGGCCACTTCATGCTCCTAGACCCCACGGAACCCCCAGCCCAGGGCCCCGGTGCTCACCTGCTCACCTGGCCCCAGTCACCCGCGGCTGCTCAGGAGTGCCTCTCCTTCTGGTACCACCTCTATGGGCCCCAGACCGGTGAGACCCCGTGCTGGGCGGGGCCGCGGTGGAGGCCCACGGGGGGCCCGAGTTCTGTCTCTGGGCCCCTCGGGGCTCTAGAGGGGGTGAGAGACAGGAGTCTGGGCCTTGGCCCCTCCAAACCCCGCCTCCCCCTAGGGACTCTGCGCCTGGCAATGAGGCGAGAAGGGGAGAGAGAAAGGCACCTGTGGTCGCGGTCTGGCACCCACGGCAACCGCTGGCATAAGGCCTGGGCCACCCTCCACCACCCGCAGGACTCCAGCACCAAGTACCAAGTGAGGCCCGGTGCCCGGCAGTGGTGGGCAGGGCAAGGCCCCAGACAGCTGACCCCCCGCTGCCCCCCAGCTGCTGTTCGAGGGCCTCCGGGATGGGTACCACGGCACCATGGCGCTGGACGACGTGGCTGTGCGGCCCGGGCCCTGCTGGGCCCCCAAGCGCTGCTCCTTCGAGGACTCGGCCTGCGGCTTCTCCACGGGAGGCCGGGGCCTCTGGACACGCCAGGCCAACGCCACGGGCCAGGCGGCCTGGGGTCCCCCTGCAGACCACACCACAGAGACGGCTCAGGGTGCCGGCAGGGGGTGGGGCAGAGGCGTGGGGTGGGGGTGGGGAGCTGGGGGGCAGGGGCGGGGCGAGGGGGGGGCCGGCAGGCTGACGCTGGCACCCTCCAGGGCACTACATGGTGGTGGACATGAGCCCGCAGGCCCTGCCCCGTGGCCACGTGGCTTCCCTGATTTCAGAGGAGCACAGGCCCCTGGCCCAGGCCGCCTGCCTGACCTTCTGGTACCACCTGAGCCTCCGCAACCCAGGTGAGGGCCTGCCGGGAGCAGGGCCCGTGGGTCCCCTCAGGCCCCTGCGTGGAGGCCGCTCGGGAGCCGCCCGCTGCCGCTGACCGGGGCTGTGGCTCCTCGGGCGGCAGGCACCCTGAGAGTCCACGTGGAGGAGGCTGAGAGGAGGCAGGTGCTCCGCATCAGTACCCATGGAGGGTTTGCCTGGCGCCTGGGCAGCGTGGACTTGCAGGCCGAGCGGGCCTGGAGGGTGAGAGGGGTGGAAGGCCTTCCTCACCCGCAGGGGCCGTCCAGTGCCGACCAGACGCGAGCCCCCCCTGCCCTGTGCCTGCCCAGGTGGTGTTTGAGGCCGTGGCCGCCGGCGTGGAGCGCTCCTACGTCGCGCTGGACGACCTGCTTCTCCAGGATGGGCCCTGCCCTCGGCCAGGTGGGAGCCCGTGGCCTGGCCCTGGGACCTGCTTGGCTCCTGGGGGTACCGGCTCCGTGCCTCCCCCGAGACGCCTGGCCTGACCTCTACCCCCCGCAGCGGTGGTGCCCCGGGGATGGGGGCAGCACCGCTTATTGCTCAAGTCCCTTGCAGCTTCCTGTGACTTTGAGGCTGGTCTCTGTGGCTGGAACCATCTGCCCTGGCCTGGCCTGGGCGGGTACAGCTGGGACTGGAGCAGTGGAGCCACGCCCTCCCGCTACCCCCAGCCGCCTGTGGACCACACCCTGGGCACAGAGGCAGGTGGGTCTGAGTTGGGAAGGGACCCCAGCGCCATACACACCCTCGGCCACACACCTCACTCACCCCAGCCAGGCTCCCGCCAGGGTCAGAGGCCAAAGGTCAGGGGGCCCCGGCTCCATCTGGTCTGCGGGGCACCGTGCCCTCTCTCGTTGCCAGGCCACTTTGCTCTCTTCGAAACGGGCGTGCTGGGCCCAGGGGGCCGAGCGGCCTGGCTGCGCAGCCAGCCACTGCCCGCCACCGAGGCCTCCTGCCTCCGCTTCTGGTACCACATGGGCTTTCCTGAGCATTTCTGTGAGTCGGGCCGGCAGCGCAGGTGGTGGGGGAACCGGGCACGGGGGCAGCCCCGCCTCCCGCCGGGTCGGGGGCCTGACACCCCGGCCCCCTGCTCTCAGACAAGGGTGAGCTGAGGGTACTCCTGAGCAGCGCCCGGGGTCAGCTGGCCGTGTGGGGCGCGGGCGGGCGCCTGCGGCACCAGTGGCTGGAAGGCCAGGTGGAAGTGGCCAGCGCCGAGGAGTTCCAGGTGAGGCCGGGCCACCCAGAGCCGGGGGACCTCAGGGGGCTCAGGAGGGGCCGTCCTCCTCCTCGGGCCCAGCCAGCCTCTTCTCCCTCCCGGTTAGATCGTGTTTGAAGCCACTCTGGGCGGCCAGCCGGCCCTGGGGCCCATTGCCCTGGATGATGTTGAGTACCTGGCCGGACAACGTTGCCAGCTGCCTACACCCAGCCGGGGTAAGCCCTGCCCCGGGTCTGGGCCTCCACCAGCTTCGGTGGTTCACGGCCCACGTGGCTGCCAGCAGCCTGCTCCTGGCCCAAGAGACCAGGAGAGCCACCGGGCCGGGCCCCTGCATCATCCCCTCCCTCGCCCGCTGTGCCCCACGCCGGGCTGGGCCGCCCCTGGTCCCTGTTCCCTCAGGACTAGGGTGCCCCGCCCCGGCCTCTGCACTCCGTGCTCCCACTTCCAGTCAGGCCAGAGACCACGGCCAGCCTCTTGCTGGAGCACTTGACAAAGGCGGGGTGCGGCCCTAGCCTGGGGTCATGACTCCCCCAGCTCCGCAGCCGGCAGCCGCCTGCCGCCAGGGCCTGGCCTCAGCTGGGAGTCTTGTGTGGGCACAACCAGCGCCCCTCCTTTAGCGGGGGGCGCAGAAGCCCTCAGGGCTGTGGGGACGGCCGTGCCCGGGTGTGGGGCCTACAGGGAGTGCTCGGATCCCGGGTCACGCGCCCTGTGCCCACAGGAGACACAGCAGTGGCCACGTCGGTGCCAGCGGTGGTTGGCGGCACCCTCCTCCTCCTCACGCTGCTGGTGTTGCTTGGACTTGTGGGACAGCGCTGGCTGCAGAACAGGGGGGGCTGCCCCTTCTGGGGCGAGACGGACGCCGTGGCCCCCAGCTTTGACAACGTTCTCTTCAACGTGGTAGGAGCCCTGGGGGGGACGGCGGGCAGGAGCCCCTGAGCCCTGCACTCGGCTGGATGGTGAACAGGACCCTCCCACACGCGGGGCCACCGCCGCCCGGTGGCCCCAGATCTCCTCGTTCCTCCTAGGACCATATGCCACCCTGCCAGCATCGGTCACCAATGACCAGCAGATGATGCAGAGAAGACCCCGTGGCCCAGGGACCAACACCTTCCCCATCCCCCAAGGACGCGTCGAGTCCCTGCATCCCTCACCCTCACAGGGGCCGCAGCTACATACCCCAGCAATAAGTGCCCTGGCCCACAAGGGACCCCCCGCTGGCCAGCCAAGGTTGAGGGCAGCAGGAAGCGGGGGCTCCACGGGCTCCCCAGACCCAACCCGACCTGCCCAAGAGGATGTGCTTGGGGGCCCCTCCCACGTGCCTCAGTGGCTCAGGAGACCGGAAACAGGCAGGCCCCGGAGACGGCGCCAGGGGCTGGAGGCACCAGGAGGGAGGCGCAGCGGGACCTGAGAAGCCCCTGCCCCAGGCCGAGCGAGCCTCCGGCCAGCCTAGTGGGACTCCGACCCAGGCCCATCAGGGGCCCCGCCTCACCGGGCAATTCTGCATCTGATTTAAGACAGTTGAGAAATCCCCAGAGCTGCTGGTGACAGACTTAGGAGCAGACACTTAGCTGGGTCCAAGGCGGCATGGAGCTGGACTTGCAGGAGGAATGCCCTGATGGGTCCTGTCCCAAATAAAGGTCGCCGTGTCCACCCTCCCGTGGTCGAGGTCCCCTCCCACACGCCACCTCATCTAATAAAATGGAGCTGAGTGTTTCTGACCTAGGGACAGTCCCAGGCTCTGGTCTTCCATGAGGGAAATTCAGACACCACCCGCCAGGTCTGGAAGGCCCCCCGGGCACGGCTGTCCTGGGGGATGGGGTGACAGCCACACCTGCATGGCCTGGTACTCCCTGGACTCCAGCCCAGGTGGCTCCACCTTGCCACCCCGGCCCACTGGGCTCTGCACGGAATGATGTGACCAGGGACTCAGTGCCAGGGGAGGGCCAGGGTCTGGTGCCAAGAAGCTGATGGACGCCCACTAACCGTCCCAGCAGAGGTGACAAGGAACAGCCTGCAAAGCGACCCTCCTGGCCCTCAGACTCCCCCCCCAGTGCTTCATGCAAACAGCCCTTTGCCACACTGGGGGCCAGAGGGAGGGGGAGCTGCAGGCACAAGAGGCGAGACTGGACAGCAAGGATTCACCACCAGCAGGAAGGGCGACAAACGTTTATTAGCTTCTCTACGAGCCGGGCCGGACACGCAGCTCCTCTCCCAGACGGTGGCTGTCCACCGTGTGCGAGACGGTCCCCCCTCTGAGCTCCCTGGAGCCACAGCCGTGACAGGGCAGACCCCGGGGGAGAGGAAGGCAGCGTTCTGCACCCCACGTGAGGGACGGGGACAGGAAGGAAAACAACCAGGAGAAGCAAACACGCTGCAAGGTTTTGTTAGTTTGACAGCAGGTACAGGTAGAGGGGGTTCCCGGGCAGGGCTACCGCCCTGTGTTCCGCACGGCCACGTGAGGAGACCCACGCTGGCGCTGGTGGTCAAGGGGAACCAGCCAGACGAGATCAGCCGGAACGCACTGATTTCGAGGCTTTGTGTTCATTTCGCCCTTGGCCCCTTCTCGATCGGCTTCCCAATGTCTTTCCCCCGGAGCTTGAGGCCTGAAAGAGCCACCAGCCCATGACCACTGCAGCTCGCCCCTGGGTCTTCAAGGCACAGGGCAGCTCCACAGCACCCCTACCCACTGCCCCGGAGGGGGCAGCGGTACCCGCACCGACCCTTGAGCGTGGCTCCCAGGCTCCACTGGAGGTGGAGGGCAGTGGGCCCATGTGTGGAGGGGCGGGAAACTGATGAGCACCATGCCCACCACACTACTAGCTTTCACGTCTGACTCTGAAGAGCACATGCTGCCCATCTTCATGGGGACAGAGGACGCCCCTCCCCAGAACTAGGCCTCCTCGCTCTGGGAGCCATGCTGCCGCCAATGCTGGAGGCGGGGCAGGGAGAGCGAGGCCCACAGCACAGGGGGCTCGGGGAGATGCCAAAGGGGGAGGCACCCAGACACTACGTGCTCGTGGGAATTTTCTTCAGGATCCGGAGAATTCCGGGGCCCCAGGGGACTTCCTGCGCCCCTCCTCACCAAGCCCACCCAGGAGGGGCGGCCGTACCACGCGCGGTCAGGCAGTGGCAGCCGAGACCCACTGAAGGATGGCGGGACACTCACCGATGGCTCTCTCGATCTTGCCCAGAACCTGGTTGTTAGGAATGGCCCGGCCACTCTCATAGTCCGCGATGACCTGTGGCTTTTCGTTGATTTTCTAAAGAGAACGTGTATTTGCACACGTCAGTTCCAGAAGGAGATGCTGGGAGACTAGAACACAGCCAGGTGAGGCGCCTCAGGCGTCGACCCCCGGGGCACTGTGCAGGCCAAGGGCCTGAGCGGATAGCAGCTCAGGAAGTTACAGCTGACTCGTGTGGCCCCCCCAGAGGCCTCAGGGTTCCCGGGGCAAGAGTGAACTGCAGCCCTCAAGTCACCAGGCGAGCGGAGCCCACGCCTCCCGCCTGCCCGCCACCGCGCTCACCGTCGCCAGGTCCTTCTGCGTCAGTCCTTTGCCCTGCCGGCCCTGCTGGATCACCTTGCCCACCTCCAGGGTCACCCGGTCGTGGTGCAGCTCCTCGGTCTCCCGGTCCAGCTTGGCTGTGTTCTTGGTGATCGAATGCTGTTTGTTCTGGCCGGCGGCCCCTGGACCGGCACGAGGCAAGAGCAGAGGAGAGAGTTTGCCACGAAGCCGAAGGAGAGCCGTTTCAGAACGGGAACCAGGCCCAAGAGGCGCCCTGTGCCCAGGGTGACGTGCTAGGCCAGGCCACCCAAAGTGGGGACAAGAGCACGAAGAGGACAAGTCCAGAATCTGTGGACTAAGGAGGGAGAACAATCCCTCCTGACCTACGCCAACCCCAGCTGCTCTCACAAGATCCCTGACATCGCCCAGCTCTGCGGCGGCTTCAGCTGCCAGGAGCCACCCGACAGCCCGGGGGCAGCACTCACGCATCTGCAGGTACGAACCCCAAGAGCACCCCCTGGTTTTGCGAGTGGACACACGAGTACCTACATTTCTTGGAAGTCTCCACATCTTCTCCTCGTCTCTGAGCTGCTAAGATGGCCTAGAAAATTAGCAAGCGTTTTTCGGTCAAAATTAGCTTTGCAGTATTTGGCAAACACCAGTTTAGGCTGCTGTCAGCCAGTCAGCGCACTGCTAACGCCTGGTGCTTTTTGAGCCCGTGAGCTCCGAGCTCATGCCCTTAAGCGCCGTGCTATGTGCCTAGTACCTGCTACTTTTTCAAGGACTGACAAGCAAATGCTGGGTTTAAACCAAAGCTTGTTATACAAATTCTTCTACAACCAAATATCCAAGCAACTCTCAATAAACTCCTGCTAAGGAAAACAGAAAGAGCTCACATCTTTGCTGCTGAAAACCATGTGCTAATGGATTCCTTTCAGAAACCCACACTTGAAATACATTTACCTCTCTAGCACACTCTCCTGCAAAAGCAGGAAGGAACGTCAATTGAGGACCTGGTCTGGCCTTCCTCGGCCAATGTGGCTCCTAATAAAAGACAGTACGTCGCACAAAGCCTGCAGCCCCCGTCCCAAACATAAGCAAAGACAGCGACACCCCTTGATCTACAGTCACCGAATATTAACGTAATGTATTTCTTGAAGCTTCTGACACCTCAGAGACATGACTGTGCGACATTCTCAGTGTGACATGTGCACAGATGCTTTCTAGAGCTGTTCACATGATTCCTAGCTTGTGGCTATTAAGTTTCCTTTGGGAAAAAAAAAAAAAAAGAGAGAGTGAGTTTGGTTTTGACTAACTGAGAAGTCCTGGCCAGGTCAATGAATGCTGATCACCAGGGCCAAAGCTAGTCCTGGCCCAGACCTGGCATTGCGTGTCTAAGGCTGGCCCAAGGCGGCCTGAGAGCAGAAACAAGCAGGGCTGGGGACTAAACTGCCCTTCCCCTTTTCCCTCACATCGACTCACAGATGAACCCCGGATGGAGTAGCCAGGGAACCTTCTGCCCCAAGTACCCATCAGGGCATGCCGGCTACCCTTGCAAGTTGGGGACGCAGGGTCCACCTGCACTCTGGGTCCTAGGCCACCTCAGCCTGGGGCCAGGAACCCCCTATGACCGGCAATGTGCTTCAGTGGGCTCCACAGGCGGCAGCGGACTGGCCAGGCACCCGGCAGCCGCAGAAGCGGGAAGGAGACCCTGGGGCGGGGGTGTCAGGCAACCGTGCCCCTGTCCCATCCCTTCCTCGGACCCACCACCTATCTGCGCTCCATCCCCCATCTCCGCCCCGAGGTCCAGCCCGCTAACCTCGCCCCGCTCCCCTCCAGTCCCTATGTACCTGTCCCCACCAAGAGGTCCAGCGCCTCACCCGCAGGCCTGTGTTGCCCTAAGATCATCCGGACCCTTCCACCCCCACCCCGCCCCTGTCTCCCACTCCTGCCCCCGGCCCCCGCCCCGTCGCCGCCCCCTGTCCCCGCTCCGCTCCCACCCTGTCCCTGCTCCAGTCCCCACACCCCGCCCCCAGCCCCGCGTCCTCCCCGCCCCCGGCACCGCGTCCGCCCCGCCCGCCCGGCCGCTCCTGGGCCCCGAGGCCCGCGCTGCGCCCGCACCTGCTTGGACTTGGCCTGGGCGGCCGTGGGACCCTTTTTGCGCAGCACCGTCACCGTGTCCCAGTCACTCTCAGCCATGGCGGGGCAGGCGGGTCTGGCAGTCCGTCCGGCGGCTCCGCGGCAGCTGCTCGAAACCCTGCGACGCGACGACCCT